CTCATTATGAAATGTTTCTCTTTTTGGTTCTTAGCTTAAAACTTTTATTTCCTCTCTAGTGTACAGTCCCGCTCACCTGCCCATGGTGGACAGTGCCCACTAGTTTGTTTTTCAATTAAATTTAATTGAAAAACGTATTCTCAAAATACGTTTTTCATATAAAACAAACTAGTGGGCATGCCCACCGTGGGCAGGGGAATATAATTTCTCTAGTGTAAGTGTGGATGTTATTTACTCTTTCCGACGACTTTTTCCGGTGACTTCTCGTTTATGCAAGTTTTAATCTTTTTCTTCCGATTTCGATCAAGCACGCGTTAGGGATGTGAGTACTTACTTTTAAGCCTTATAATCTCGATTCTCGTACTTACTTGCTATCTCGTGCGTAGAAGTAACTAGGGCTTGCTCGTTTATTAGATTTTTAGTAGCTATATTAGTTGTTTTCGTTTCCTTTACTTATGTGAGCTCGTTTATTATGCTTGGAGTTGGTTGAAGTGTTGATTGCTACTTGAAAAATCGTGACTTGATGTTTAGCTCGGTTATTTCGTAGTAGGATTTCGTTTTGGCTTTTAAGCATGCTAAATGGAGTTCATTTCTCTTATTTTCGCTTTTGTTGCTCTTGTCTTTGTTCACCGGTTTAGAAGCTAGGGTTTCTAAGTTCCATTGCTTGCCTAATTGCTCGTTTACTAGCTTTCCTTAGTCGTAACTAGTTTAAAACCATCTCAAACCATTTGATTAGAATGTTTAGGTTTTATTTTCCTCTTTTTGTGATTAGAGTGATCGAATAGTAATTTAAGCTCCGAATAGCCTTCCCTCGAGATCGACCCGAGCCGGATAACTCGGTTATCCTTTGCCCATCAAATCTTTACTAAACAATAGGATCGACTTTACCGTATACAACATGGACTCATTGAGTTTTAATAACTAGGGGAGGTTGACTCCACCTATATATCATACGAGAACATTGTAAATGTAGAATGACTTAATTACAATTTATCCTTCATTCTTGTAAGAAACTAGGGAAAAAACAGGCGCGGACCCACTAACATGAAACACACAATGAGAGGGAAAAGCCCATATGAGGTTCAATCCCAAAACCAATTGGTGGAAGGAGGAGTCGCCCATTAGACTTATAAGGTGGGTCTATTTTCCATGTATGAACGATGTGGGACAACTCTGGTCCTAATGTTTTTATTTTTATATATATGATGAACACCCATTTTCTCTCTTTTTTTTTTTATTTTTTTAATTTATTTGTTAACTAGTCGCTCACCATATGTGCAAAGTCAGATGAAATTGTAAACATGCATATGGTCTGAACATTTGTCACAAGTGAAGTTCGTCTAAAAATTTGAGTCATGCCCCCACCAAGTATATGGTTTAAACACGTAATAGTTACGTCAATAAAAATATATATATGTACCAAATAAAAAATATACATATAAGTTTCATTCATAAAATAAAATTAATTTACAATAATTTAATTTAAATTAATTTACAAGTTTCATTTTAGCTATTCCATAGAAATAAAGAAAATTAGATTACTTCACAATAATTTTTAAACTTTAATCGAAAATGTTGAGACAAGATGAAAATATGGCATACGAATTAAAAACGAGAAAAGTAAACAACACAAGATTTACGTGGTTCGGCAATGTGCCTACGTCCACGGCGGCTGAGGGATCTCTATTATTCTCAATAGTCTCAAATACATCAATACACCATGTATTTATACTAAAACCCTACAAGGTATAAATTTACTTAAATACCTTGTACCGTACCGCGGGGGCTCTGCCCCCGCACCCCCGTCTATACCGCGGGGGCTCCGCCCCCGCACCCCCCACCCAACTAACCGGCCCAGCCCAACAAGGACTAATGCCTGCGAGCGTAACGGAGCGAACATAGCGAGGGAAGCGGAGCGAACGTAGCGAGGGAAACGGAGCGAACGTAGCGAGGGAAGCGGAGCGAACGTAGCGAGGGAAGCGGAGCGAACGTAGCGAGGGAAGCGGAGCGACCGAGCGAAGTGAGCGGAGTGGAGCGAGCAGGCATCAGCTTGCCTCCTTCCTTTGTCAATATATGAGCCATATCAACAAATTTCCACCTTGGCAAATATATCACCTCCTTAGGAGAACACAATAGTGAGTACCTCTGCGAGACACACCAAGCAGGCCGGGGGTACAATGCAACTCTAGCATGCAGAAACATTCAACAAATCCAAGCAATGCTTGAATTTGTCAGAAGTAACAGTCTTAGTCAACATATCAGCAGCATTCTCTTCAGTATGAACTTTCTCCAACTGAATATCAACAGAAGCAATCCATTCCCTAATCTTGTGGAACCTCACATCAATATGCTTCGTCCTAGCATGATATATCTGATTTTTAGCCAAATGAATGGCACTCTGACTGTCACAATGTACTAGAACTCCACCTTGCTGAATACCCAACTCTCTAACCAATCCAGCAAGCCACACTGCTTCCTTTGCCGCTTCAGCCAAAGTAATATACTCAGCTTCAGTTGTAGATAGAGCAACTATATGCTGAGTATTCGACCTCCAACAAATAGGCCCTCCACCAAAAGTGAAGACATACCCAGTAGTAGATCTCCTATTATCCAAGTCCCCAGCATAATCAGAATCCACATATCCTACAACCAAAGGATCCAACCGCTGATCTCCAAACACAATACCATATCCCGCAGTACCTTTCAAATATCTGAAAATCCATTTGACTGCCTCCCAATGCTGTTTACCCGGCCTAGACATATACTTGCAAACTTGACCAACAGCATGAGCTAAATCAGGACGAGTACATACCATGGCATACATCAGACATCCAACAGCACTGGCATAAGGTACTTCCACCATATCCTGAGTCTCCTTGTCCGACTTGGGACACTGATCAACAGAAAGCTTGAAGTGGTTTGCTAATGGAGTGCTCACCGGTTTTGCTTCATTCATCCCAAACCTCTGTAGCACCTTCTCCACATAACCCTTATGAGATAACCACAGCTTATTTGATCCTCTATCCCTGTGAATCTCCATCCCAAGAATCTTCTTCGCAGCCCCCAAATCCTTCATCTCAAATTCCTGACTCAAAAGGCTTTTCAGATCAATAATATCACGCATATTCTTGGCAGCAATAAGCATGTCATCAACATAAAGTAACAGAAAAATCATAGAACCATCACCAAGGCTCTTAGTGTAAACACAACAATCAACATCACAACGCTTGTAGCCAATCTTCACCATATACGAATCAAACCGTATATTCCACTGCCGCGATGCTTGCTTCAAGCCATACAAGGATTTCTTCAACCTGCAAAATAAATGCTTCTTCCCTGGTTGAACGAAGCCCTCTGCCTGCTGCATGTAAATAGGCTCTGCGAGATCACCATGCAAGAAAGCAGTCTTCACATCCATCTGCTCCAAATGCAAATCCCAACTAGCCACCAATGCAAGTACAACCCTGATCGAAGTATGTCTAACCATAGGGGAAAATGTCTCATCATAGTCAATCCCCTTTTGCTGTGAGTATCCTTTAGCCACCGATCGAGCCTTGAACCTTTCCCATCCTTTTTCTGTTATCGATGACTTCCTTGTGTAAATCCACCTACAACCAATAGCTTTTTTCCCTTCGGGAAGAACATCTAACTCCCATGTTTGATTCTTGTGTACAGAATTCATCTCTTCTTCCATGGCAGCCTTCCATCTATCATTATTCTCACAAGAAACAGCCTCCTGGAAAGTACAAGGATCCACACTAGTGATCGTAAGAGCAAACGCCACCATATCCTCATAACCAAACCTGACCGGAGCTTGTATATTGGTACGCCTCACTCTATCCCGAGCTAACTTGTAGCTCTCTGGCACATCAATTGGGCCAGAAACATCATGACCAACATCATCAGGTGCAGAACTCGAACTCTCCCTCTTATCAAGAACTGCTGGCACATGTTCCAACTCCACTTGTACCTTATCTGCATCTGATCCCAACATAGACTGTTCATCAAACACTGCATCTCTACTAATCACCGTCTTCTTCTCAACTGGATCCCAAAACTTGTATCCCTTCACACCTTAATTATAGCCCAGAAAAGTGCACCTCTTTAATTTAGCATCAAGTTTTGACCTCTCATCAGCAGGAATATGAACATAAGCAGGACATCCAAAATTCTTCAAATGATCAAAACTAACATCATTACCTGTCCATACTTCTTCTGCAACTTTGCCATCCAGAGATGCACGTGGTGATCTGTTAATTAAATAACAAGCCATACTTACAGCCTCAGCCCAGAAACTCTTTGGCAAACCCGCATTCAGTCTTAAACACCTCGCCCTCTCAGCCAGTGTCCGATTCATCCTCTCAGAAACACCATTCTGCTGTGGTGTTTTACACACTGTAAAATGCCTTTGAATCCCATGCTCCTCACAAAACTTCTGGAACTGTGAATCGGTGTACTCTGTACCATTATCAGACCTTAAGTACTTGATTTTCTTACCAGTCTGGTTCTCCACCTCAGCCTTCCACAGCTTGAATTTAGCAAAAACTTCAGATTTATTCTTCATGAAATACACCCAAACTTTCTTCGAAAAATCATCAATAAAGGTCACATAGTACAAAGAACCACCAATCGATGTCACTCTAGTAGGACCCCACACATCTGAATGTACATAATCCATAATTCCTTTTGTCTTCTTCTTCCCAGTCTTGAAACTGACTTTTGTCTGCTTTCCCAGAACACAAAACTTGCAGAAATTGAGTTTGCAAGTTTTAACACCATGCAGAAGCCCCCTCTTATGCAGTTCAGTCATGCCATGTTCATTAAGATGTCCAAGACGCATGTGCCACAATTTCGTGCTATCTTCACACGACTCCACCGAATGGACTCCACCTACAACTGTACTTCCCAACAGTTTGTAAATGTGTTGGTGTTATATACTTAAGCTTTGCTTTAGTGGATATTACACTTGTTATT